CCCTTTAACACCATTTGCTGAGTTATGATACCAATCTCTCGTGGATTGCCAGAGAAAATCCCTCTCCCTGAAACCAAACGCAATAAATTATTTTTCTCTCTATAGTTGTTGAATTACAATAATAATAATAAAAAAACAATTTAAATCTATCAGCATTTGGTTAAGGAGAGTCAATTCGCTTAGTCTATATAACAATAAATAGGGTTGGGTCAAACGTATAGGTAGCTCGATTGGCTGATGAAGAAACATGAATTTAACAAATCTGTTTATATTTTCTAATAGTGATTGAAGAACATGGTTTTGGCCTTATGTGGATTTAAAACCCTGTCTTTCGAATTGCAAAACTTGAACGGATTCTATCTGAAGAGCATCATTTATAGCAAAATAATTCCCTGAAGCTACAATGGTCTGGGGATCTCAGGTGACCATCATCTCCCTTTGTCTGGTGTCCAGAGTTAAAATCAGTGCAATACATTGATAAGAAAATGCCAGTGAACTGTGACCAAATAGGCCACTGGTCAAATAGAATGACATTTAAGAACATTACAAAAAACTGATAAAACACAGAGGCTGTGGATACGCACAGGCTGTTACAGTCAGCTCTCATCAGCAGGGCAATACGGTTCTGTGTCAGTCACTCTCGCTGGCCAGTGACCCCTGGGCCTCTGACATCTCATCGAAACTGCACCTGGCCAGGCCCAGTGGCAACTGGTGATCCAGCCTTGAATTTGGTAGCGACTTCTCACCCACTGCTTTGCTTTAAAGAAGAGTAAACGTTTTTTTCCTCGCTTCATCCAACGCCCCGCCCTGGGTTTCCAAACCACGAAAACAAACGGACAACACAGAACCTTTCAATGCTGTTTTCCTTTGGTTAGCTAATCTTTGGTTAAACATCGGGCAGACTGACAGGCCACACATTGTCACACCTTGGTGGCAGCAGCAGCTGCTTCTCCGTGTCCAGCAAGCGGAGCCCAGAGCAACGTGGAAAAAAACCACTTAAGGAAAGGACTCGCCGAGTCGTAAGGCAGGGAGGGATTCACCGAGTCGGACGTGCTCCTTTTCAATTATATATAAGGTATCGATTTTACATATATACAGCGAGGGTAGAGATATACACACATATGTACATATGCTGTACAGATATTTATTTACAGTTAAGAATATGCTTCGTAGAAGCCTTTAAATAGCAAATTAGGCAATGCACAAGGAATAATCCATTTAATTTTAGGTAACATAGATAACTGTTCTGATTTTTAAAAATATTATATTAGTAGGGCTATAGCCATCTCCAGGAAGGCTAGGAAACTTCTAGAAGTTCTCGCATCTCCGACATTCCGACTCGTCAGCATTTCCACTGTACGCGTGAACCACGCCCACCAGTCTCCCCCTCACTCTCGCTTTCTCGCAAGCACGCTCTCTCCCACGTGTTGGCTTTCGCTTCCTCTTCCCTGAGTTGGATGTCACGCTGGGGAAAACTCAGATTTTGGTTTCTGGACCCTCGGCAATGAGGGGCTGAAAAGAGTTTCTAATCTTGGCAACTTCCGCCGCACACAGATGTCCAAAGCCTTTATTGTACCATTCCGGGGAGTGACCTCTGTGGGGACAAAAATATCAGAAAGTGGGACAGCCTTTCTCCACGTCACGCCACTTTGTCATGGGGGACGGGGCTGTCTTCGTGCCCCGATGACCAGGACACTTGTGTACCCCGCGGGCTGCCTCTCGAGGACCCGAGGACCCAGTATGCGCCCTATCTTTTCAGCACTTACTGGGTGCTTTCAAATGATACTACCTTTTGCCTTGAGTCGGAAAATAGTTTGCCTTTGCATCGGTAAATTTACTCATCCTTTTAACCTATGTAAAGTTTTTGTATGCGATTCTCAGTTCTTTAAGGGATGACAACAAATTTCGGTTTCCTACTGTCACGTGAGAACGGAAGGCCCCGGCAACGCGTCATTGTGAGGAAAATAAAGTGCTGAAGAAAAATAAAAAATAAAAAAGATGCCATCTTTCTGAGACGATTCAGACTGAATTCTAGACTTTACTGAGACGACTCAGTTTATGTCCACCTAGGCCGAGAACCTGGTTGAGCATCACGCCTGCCTCGAAGAGGCTGGATTTAAGCTGGCTTTTTCTTTGCAAAGGGACAGGCCTTCAAAGAAACGCCAGAGAGGGGACTCGCATCTACCGAGCGTCTCCTGTGTGCCAGACTCTAGCGTTTGTGTTTGCTCCAGGCGAGAGGCGCAGACATCTAAGTGTGGGCAAATCGAAAAGAGAGAAGAGCGAAGGACCGCGGGAAAACGTCGGAATTTCAGGAAGGGTGGGGGAAGAGGGAGGCATAAGTATTCGTCTATGAAAGCATGTTAATGGCTGCAGGGAAAGAAAAGTGTAGTGGAATAAGAAATCGGGATGACAACAAACAGGGCCCTGGGGAACGTGCCACGCCCGCTGGGACTCCCAGACCGAGCCGGCCACCCGGCGGAGTTCACACTTACTTCAGGTCTATCCTGCAGATGTGGGTCAGTCGTGACTTGCCGGAGCCACACGGTTCTATTAAGTACTGAGAATCCATCACGATGGCTCGCACGCCGCCCATGAGCGGGGCTTCCTCGTGGTCCACCGAGAGGGACAGCAGGGCGCACATTCCTTTGGGCAAATCGGTCTTCCAGGTCCTGTAGCGAAACAACCCGCACATCAGAGTGTGGCTGACAGAGACGGAAAGGCCTGAGCCCAGAGCTGAGGTTGACACTCAGAGTTTCCTGCTCAAATTCCAGTCCCAGTTACTTGGATTAAGTGTGGCGAAGTTTATACAGTGTAATTCAGAGCAAAGGTCTCAGCCCTCAGACCCGGGGGCTGGAAATGGTCTTGCAGCATCCAGACCTGGTCTTGGAACCGGCCAGAGGCTGCAGAGGCCTCTGCACATTATTAAATGGCTGGTTTTACAGTTTTGGAATTAGGACTCGCTTGTTCTATTCTTCAGTGTAAACATCCATGAAGCACCAGGACGTGCCAGGCTCTGGGAAGCCAGCAAGGACACAAAGATGCACAGTCCAGGAGGAGAAACAGAAATGCAAAGAGCTTGCTAGCACGCCACGGTCAGTGCGGTGACATGGCTAAGCATCGAGCATTCTGAGACCACGTGGAAGGGAAGGGGAGGCGGGAGGTTTCCTGGAGGAGGTGATGCTAACCTCGAGTCTTATGGGGTAAATGAACTGGTGATGCTCAGCTTGAAGAAAACTAGACACATGTGGACGGCTACTCGTCTTCAAATACCCAAGTGGCTCATAAGTGGGAGAAATAAATACCGTGGATTTGAGTCCGGAAGGCAGAGAGGGCGGAAGGCACATCTCAGTTCGGTAGTGGAAAGAGCTGCCTCACAATGTGCACTTCCCCAAAATGGAATGGGCTGTATGAGGAGGTAGTGAGTTCCCTGTTACTGGAGCTATTCAACAATAGAGAGGGCTACTCCTTGGGAATAGGTCGTTGATGGAAGTCAGGAACCACAGGAGTATTTGTGTAACAACCATTTCTACCAGAAAATATAGGTTTTGTTATTATCATCCCAGTTACTGGCATCACAAATCCTATCCCCTTACGTAGCCATCTCATCTATGACTTCGTCCTGTCCTACCACACATGAAGGGAAGCCATTACACGCTCCCAGCAGGAACCTGGGAGTAAGCAAGCCCCACGCAAATGTTCAGCAGCTTCTCCGTGGGTGTGCCTGTTCTCTTTTCGTGCACGATAAAGGGATTAATAATAAAGACTGACAGATGCAGAGATCTGTGGGGATAAAATCGGTCACTATCCCTGGATGCTCCCAAAGTGAGTCAGAAACGTGGCAATCCTGAAGGGATCCCCGCCAGGTGTGTGCACCTTGGTTAGGAGATGCTCTGAAGACAGGAAGTATCTCAGCCCTGTCACTTCCTCCTCACATTGTTCCTTTCCACCTGCTTGTATCATAACCGCAAGGACTTTCTGCTGCAGGAACCACATCTGGTTCATCGTTTATCCCTTTCGGGGCCAAGTTCATTTCCCTCAGAGCCTCCTGGTCCATCCACCTTCTCCTTCATGTCTAGCGTGAACCTTCAAAGTAGTGAGACTCTGCCCGGACCACCATATTTAAAATTCCACCCCCTACTCTCCCTTACCTTACGTATCCTCCTAGGCTAAGGCACCCCATCCCTCTTATTTATTGACTCTCTCTCTAATACAACGTAAATCCCGAGGGAGCAGGGCTGTCTGCCGTGTTTACTGCAGCCTCCCCGGAGCCAACAGCGGTGCCTGGCATAAGGCGATGACGGAACAGCACACTAAGAAACGGCAGGCTGGTGGACGGATGGAAGGAAGGCAGGGGGTCCTGCGCTGGGACTCTGGCCCCCCTTTTCTAAGGGGAGGAAAGAGGCACGCCGTGGCAGGGCGCCACCCCCCTGGCTCCCTCCTGGAACGATTCGATTTGCCGCTTGCAAGAGTGGAGGTGTTGAAGCTTAGCTCGCACGAGATGACTCATGTTCCAATAACTGTGGTAATGGGCCACCCTTATAAATGCTCACATTCTCCATCAGGATCCCAAGGTGGCTAAGATAAACACATGCATTTAGGGGAAAATGACCCTTAAAATTCAAGGTCCCAGAGACCAACTCCAAAGGCATAAATAGCCTATGTGAAAAGTAACCTTTAGTCTGCCATCGAGACTAGTTTCATAAAGAAACTATTTTAACTATACATCTGGGAATTTCGCTAGCGATTCATTTCCATCACCAGTCCATGAGAGGAGAGAGTGTTTGGCATTCGTTATCAATAAGAAAGGATATATTGATTTAATTATATTTTATCTGGGTTTCCAGCATCCCGAATCCCTCGTCTTTCTGATTCAATCCTGACTCACCAGCCCACGTAGATGGCTCTATACTGTGCAAACTTCCTGTCACTGGGTGGGCACCCCATTACAAACCCCGACAGCAGGGATCTGGAACTCAACTCGTAAATCTATAAGAAGCTGTATTTTGACAGGGAGACTAAGACTTGTAAGCCTGGGCAGGCCCTGGAATCTTACTGGAGACCCGAGTGTCTCAGCACCGTGGGACCTTCGAGGCTGTGTGTGCCCAGGCTGCCGTGTGGGGTAATGAGCTCTGCACATCTGAAGCTACACAAAGGAATCCCGAAGTCACACAAACGTGTCTCGAGAGTTCCACGAAGTGGACTTGCTTTCCCAGAGGGAGAAAAACGGAAGCCGGAGAAAAGTCAGGGAGATGCAACTGACGTGCTCTGGCAGAAAGTACAGACTGGATGAACGGCAGCTATTCCTGGGACTCTGAGGAAATGAACAATATTTATGGCCCAATAAACCACACGCTCCGTAATGAAAGGGGCCAGGAGAGAGCCGACGGAGCTGCAAACTGGGTGAAGAAGCAGGAGGTCAGGCATGCAGACAGCAAAGTCAGTCTTCACCGAGGGAAATGGGGGCCGGCTGAGCAGTCCCCGTGCACGCTGAACTTAGGAGAGGGGACCTCAGATCCGCAGCTCGTCATCTGCCTTCAGAACAGCATGTGTTTAACCCCAGGGGCCTGGCTTACCTGAGAACCACGAAGTCTCTGGAAGGGTGGGGGGCCATGGTGTTCAGCACGTACTGATAGATCTCCGTCTGCTTGTCTAGAGTTTCCACAACCTTCCACTGCACGAAGTCCTCGTCCCACAGGTGGCGCTCCCTCAGCACGCGGTTCAAAACCACAGAGGGGGGCGCTTCCACCTCCACGGACGCCTTCCACAGCTTCAGCGGGTTCCCGTCCCCCACCTTGGGAAAGACACCAGCAAGGCTCAAGAGGGCAGCCGGTCCCGAGAAACCTGCCTCGTTTCACCGGGGGCTCGGAAAACAGCCCGGTGACGTACCTTGAGAGAGTGATTAGTGTACCTTAGGTTTACCGTATGAAACCGGTAACCCTTAAGCTTAAAATAATGATGACGATGATCGTAAAAATAATAACCACCAACACGCACAGTGCTTACTGGGTGCCAGGTGCCGTCCTAACCCCTCTTGTTTTTATTATTTATTTATTTATTGTTACCATTTTTATTTATTTTTATGAAATTCATTGGGGTGACATTGGTTAATAAAACCATATAAGTTTTCAAGTGTACAATTCAATAATACATCATATGTGTATTGCATTGTGTTCACCATCCAAAGATGGATCCCCCTCCATCACCATAGATTTGACCCCCTCTGCCCTTACCTACCCCCTGGTAACCACGAAACTGTTGTTTCTGTCCATCAGTCTCTACTTGTCTATCACATTCATTTGTTGCTTTCAGTTTTATATCCCATTATGAGTGAAATCATAAGGTTCTCAACTTTTTCTGTCTGATTTATTTCACTTGGCACAATAATCTCAAGATCCATCCATGTTGTCGCAAAGGGCAGTGTTTCATCTTTTCTCATGGCTGAGTGATATCCCATTGTATATATGTACCACATCTTCTTCATCCAATCATTTATCGAAGGGCATTTTGGTTATTTCCTTGTCTTGGACACCGTGAATAATGCTGCTATGAACATCGGGGTGCATGTAACTTTACGAATAAACGTTTTCAAGTTTTGGGGGGTAAATACCCAGAAGTGGGATTGCTGGGTCACATGGTAATTCAGTTCTTAGTTTTTTGAGGAACCTCCATACTGTTTTCCACAGTGGCTGTACCAATTTACATTCCCATCAGCCGTGTATGAGGGTTGCTTTTTACCCACAACCTCTCCAACACTGGTTATTACTCGTGTTGTTGATGACAGCCTTTCTAACAGGTGTGAGACAGTACATCTCATTTGACTTTTAAATCGCCCTCCTCTGACAGTAGTATTATTATGATTATGTTTTTTTATACAACTGAGAAAACAGAGGCACAGAGAGGCGTGTGACTTGCCGAACGTCACGCAGCTAAGGGACAGAGACCGGATGGGGATCCGGCAGTGTGGCTTCACAGTCTGCACTCTGATTATGTGCAACAGGGCTGCTTGGCAGTCTCTAGAAAGGGTCACAGTCACATGTGTGCCAACCCCTGTGGACGGCGGCTGTTTTTAAAGCAAAACACATGCCTGCTTGTCGGAGTTTCCCCAACCCCCAAGATTACCTTTTTGAAGGCCAGGTCCGTATTGTCTGTGCTGGAACATGTGACCCAACCTTTGAACTTCTCTTTGGCCTCCTTCTGGAGGCCGTGGATGAGATGTTCCAGGTAAGTGTGGAAAGTGGCCCCGCTCTCCTCCAGCTGGGTCCCCAGGTCTTCCAGGGTTGGCGCGTGGACCTCGGCCTCCGCGTACGAGTTACGAGACTGGGCCAGCATCTCAAGCGGGACCTGCACCAATGCATGCACCAAAGAGCAATGCATGAGCTGAAGAAAGGCTGAGACTACTAGTTAGAGAAAGCAAAGTCACTGAGTCAAAAGCCACGTGTGGGCAACAGGCCGAGTGCACGGGGCATGAGATGTTTTTCTAAGGTCAGTGGCAAGGCTGGTGTCGGGGGCGGGGCTTCCTCAGGAAGACAAATATGTTTCTGAGGGATATTTATTACTCAGGGCACTGCAATGACTTCCCACTCGGTCTTTCCATTTTCCTTTCATTTTCCCTTTAATGTATTTTTTATTCATTTTGGCAAAACGTCGGCTCAGGAAACTTAAAGCACATATACTTAAGGGAATCAGCACATGTGACTCAGAATTAGCTTTACCTTTTTAGCACACTTGTCCCATTTACAAATGCCAAATTTTACTACAAAAAGTATGCCAGAAGGCTAGTTCACTGACTTCTCTAATGTATCTGTGGCTATATTCATAAGCTATCGCTGATTGTTAGTTAACAGGGATTGGTCAATATCTCACACACACAACAGAAACACACACACACACACACACACACACAACTTATACACACACATGCTGAACCTAATCAAGTCCCAAGGTAAAATCAAATAGAACCACACACACACACACACACACATTCATACACACACTTGCTGAACATAATCAAGTCCCAAGGAGGTAAAATCAAATAGAATGTAATGGGCTGGCTGGCCTTGAACCTGGCAAGTGAAGGTGATGTAACTGTTCTCACGAAAACTGACGTCGTGGTAAACCCAAGAGTCTTTAACTATCGAGCCTCAATTATATAGCTAGCTCCTCACTTTTCTTGGAGGCAAAGACCAGAGCGAGAGTGTCCTGCTGTCATTATAAAATTAAGAACAAAGAGACGTCAGCCACGAAGGCAGCAACTGTTCCAAGCGTCTCATCCAGTGCCAAGAGCTCTAAGGAAGGAGGTTCAAGCCTTGCACTCACCTCAAAGAGCCGGTCGCATTCCGTGATCATGTGCGCAAGGCCCTGAGCGGCGGCCAGGTTCTCGTTGAGGTCCTTTTGATCTGGCTTCCCGGTGGCATATTTCTTCTGGATGACTCTGAAATTGAAGGAGACGGTCCTAAGCAGATGCTGAAGCAAGAGAGCCCATCTCTCTTGTTTTCCGTTCCTACCCACATGCTCTCCGGAGCACGGACTTCCTCTTTTCCAAATCGGAAGAAAGATCACACATCTCAGATATTCTGAGCCAGGCTAAGAATTGGAATGAAAAGCCTCGGACAAGCACAAGGGCAGGAATAACTGTCGGGGGGAGAAATTAACCTATTTTTCCCAAGTTTGAAACCACTTCACTGTGAGCTGCCATGCTTGGCCCTTGAACCTAGTCCCCCACGCCCTACCACCCCGCTTTTTTTTAAAAATTAAAGATTGTAAAATACAATCTTTGTGTACTTTTTCCCTCCTTCCCACTCACCACAAAAAACAAAATTCTTCAGGTCGTCTGGATCAATATAGACATTCTTCAACGCTACTTTGACAATTTGATGCGTCTGAGCACATGAATTAGGTCATCTCGAAACATTTTCTGATTATAAATTAAATGCTGACAAGTCCTCAAGTTGAAACCCAACACGAGAAGTTTTTTGTTTTTGTTTCTTTCCTTTTCATGAACTGTGGGGAATATCTGGTTTAGGATTACTGTTGCTGCTGAGAGAAACCCACCTGGGGGAGCTTTCTTTCTTCAGTAAATTAAGATGGAAGAGCGAGGGGGCCAGACACACAGCCAGATTCATGGGCGTCATCTGATTCTCTTCCACCAAGTTGACCACGTCGTTGAGGAAGCACAGCAGCGTCTGCAGGACCTCTCTGCTTTCATCCGCCAGCAGCAGGATGGCGGCCTGCACTGCCTGCAGCCGCTGCTCCTTGGGGACATCTGTGGAAAAGGGGGCGCCAGGTCATTAGAGGAGCAGCTGGGAGGAGGAAGTGAGTGAGCTCAACCTTCCTGACCTGAAGACATCATCATCATCAACAATGACGATGACAACTGCTGGTGACAGAAAGAATTGGGTAATTGCCTTGGCCTCACAGCTGGTGAGAGGCAGAGCTGGGACTGGAAGCCCAGCATCTAACTCCAGAGCCCGCGGTCCCCACAGCGAGACGGTCATTGAAAAGGAACACCCTGGCCTGGTTCTCACGCTCCGAGCATCCCACCGGCTCGTCTGCTTTCAAACCGTTTTCCTATTCTGCCTGCAGTTGGCGACAGGCTGGAGAGCTGTCCGCCTGGTTCTCTCTTGCCCACCCTGCCAACGGACAGCTTGTGAAGCACCTCTCAGGATGCCCAAGGCTCGGTGGACATGGTTTGGAGCCCACTGTGTTGGGAGATGCAGCCTCGCCTTCCCCCACCCCTCGTGGGGCAGCCAGGGCTGATGCCGGCTGGGTGCAGTTAACCGTGGGTGATGGGGCTCAGTCGGCTGGCCCTCTGAACTGACACCTGGAGGATCAGCTCCTTGAAGCTCTGCCTGGCACATCTGTCTCTTTCTTGCAGGTCGCCAGGGCTTGGTTTAGAGGAGGCATGTGGCCTCGTGGGGTGACCCAAGGTCACCTGTTCCATAATCTTGAAGGTCATGGAAATTGAGACTGTGCGTGGGGAAGAAGCAGCAGGCTCCCCAAGGTTATGGGGAATGGGCAGCCCCTCTCAGGCCCATTCCCCATCAGGGTGGCCCTTCCGGGGGTGGTGCTGGTGGCAGGCATGGGTCATGCAGGCTTCAAAGGGCATGGGCCCCAGGGCTACGTAGTGAAGGAAAAGGAAAATCATGGCATTGGGTGTGAGGCGCTGCATTTCGCTGCCCGCTGGCTGTGTGGTTTCGGGCCTGACTCACTGCCTTGTTCTGAAGGACGCAGCCAGGAGTTCACTTAGGGTTCGCATTGCTGTCTTTCTGAAAATACCGTGTTCTAGAACAGGTCTCTGCAGTAGGCTGTCTGTGCTCGAAGGGGTGGGGAGATATGCTCGTGACGATCAATGATGGGTGGGAAGAAAAGATTACAGTTTTCAGTGGCGTTGATGTTTCCTCTCAAACTTTAAAACTACCGATTGCATATGTTTTGTAATGTGCACGTTGGGTCACAGTATAGCACGATACATTTATATTATTAAAAATAGATCAGTCCACATGCTCAGATATATACTACCAGTAGAGGTGCATAATAAAAAAATGAATGGGAGCCTGCTGCTCTGGAGGGGCTTTGGTGTGACTTCTGCCCAGGTCTTGCCCTCTCTGTCATTGTACCCCCCAGGACCGGGCGCACTGCTGGCTCCAGGCAGCCAGCGAGTCCAAATTTTTGGAAAAACATCATCCTGAACTCAGCATTCTGGGATCCCCACCCCCACCAGATCTACAATGTACTGGCAGAAGGTAGATCTGGGTTTAGTAGAGAAGAGTCATTTTTGTTCAAATTAGAGCAAAACCTTTTTCTTTTTTCCTTGCTTTTGCTGAAACAGAACTAATAACTTGAAGCTTGTCATCAAAGCGTTAGAAATGCAGCTTGAGCCATTAAACTGCTTTTAAATATGCTGCTTTAGGTGGATGTCTACTGTAGATGTTGTCTAACTTTAGATTGCCAACTTTCTCTTCCATGCCAAAATTTCTGAAGTCATCTGTCAAGGCTACATATTGTCTCAACTTCCCTCTTCTACGCAGTTGATCCTTTATCCCTCAGAAAATATCTTCCGTCCCTTATTTTCTAACAAAAGTGCTTGCGAGGGCCAATCATTAATCCCTGGCTTCAGCATTCATTGGGTGCCATCCATCTGACCTTTCTGTTACAGGGACTCTCCTGGGGTTCCTGCCTCTTCCTTGGCTCTTGGGAGACTATCCTGGATCTGCATCCCAAAGTGCTGCTAACCCGTGACCGTGTGGATGGCCAGCAGCACGTCAAAATCAACATCTGGTTTATTCTGAATACCCTTCTCCTCCTTGGCCCCAAACGGCTCCCTCGTCCCTCCTTCCTTTCTATATCCTCCCAGTCATCAAGCCTTAAAACTATAGGGTTGTCTTTCATCTCTCCATTCTTCTCCCTCCTGTAGACCCTTGGGTTTCAAATATTTTTATTAGCCATCCAACACTCTAATGAATAATTGGATGAAAATCCGAGAAGTAACACAGCTAAAATTAGAACGGCTCTAGAGAACGAGAGAAAATGTTTCTCCCTTCTCAGGAGTATTCTGGAAACTTGAACTCCATCCACGGGACATTGTACCTCCAGTCTCGCTGCTGCAAGCCACTGAGGGTAATCTAGAGTCTCGATTAATGTGCTAACTCCCTAACCCTCCATCCTCGTCCAGTCCAATACCTCTCGTTCGCCACAGATTCATGGGTCATATGGACGTGCACCATTACGGCCGGCACCAGCCGGGTACTTCCTCCTCTATGAGGAAGCACACACAGTGTTCAGGTGTCAGCTCTGGAAAGCCGGGCCCTTCCTTCAGACCCAGGGAATAACCATGTTGGCCTGACCAAAAATGGCAACTCCACTCCCCTTTCTGGTGATTGATTTAGGGGAGAACATGGAAACCATTTTTGTCCTATAGGACCAAGATAAATGCGAGGAACTCCTGTAAATTTATCTCCCTGATAGAAAGAGACGTATGTCCGAGGAGAAGCCCTCTGTCCTCTTCCTGCCTTTGAATATGATTTTGAGAAGACGCGACAATTCTAAATTGCAGCAATCATACTGTGACCTTGCAGAGATCGCCGAGAGAA